TCTCCTTTGAGTAAAGATTTTTTTTATTAACACTTTGATGATATAACAAAAAATAACTTTATTCAGAAACGATTTAAGTTTATAACTGAAATCGATATTTTTACTTTCATGATAAATTTGATGCAATTGGCTCTAGGCTAGGTGATCCCACACTAAGTCTTTACATTAGGCTTATTGTACCAACACTCACTACACTTATACAACAGGACCCAACTCATTACATTTATTTAAAAAAATATTTACATTACAACAACACACAAACAGCACAACATACACCACTCTCGAGTATTATTTACCCAGACTTGATGTAGAATATTTTTCCTAGAATAGCTGTTCGTGTACATTTTAAACTAATGGGTATTGTATGCTATGTAAGAAATGACCCAGTCAAACTTTTCTCCCGACTACGTTTGACTAGTCTTAAGAATGAGAAGCACAAAAATCTTGCGCTTTTATAAACAAGCACTCCAACCTTGTAAACATGGGGAAAGAAAATTCGTAATTTCTCTTTCGCCCTAATGTATCATGACACAAAACTTTTAAACTTTGCTTCGTCACCTTTCGAAACAGGTTTTTAAAATTTTTTTTATGAATATTTCTTCTAAAATGAAATTTAAGAAAAGTACATGTTAGTTTTTTTTTCATTGAAATAACTGCGGTGTTTAAGTAGCGAGACTTACTATTTTAAATTACGTTCTTAAAAGGAATTTTTATTGAATAACGATAAGAATTAAATAATGGTGTTATAAGATGAAGTAGTTAGTTAAAAAGGGTTACAACTTTACGGGTCCAGCAACCCCATGTAGATGTGAGGCACAAGCCATGTTAGACGAGTTTGTTTTTTTGTAACAAATTTTGATTTGAATTTTCACTTGTGGTATTGAGTTACGTCGCAGTAAAAAAAAAGTACGCCAACGTTAGTGTCATATTTACGTCGATCATCTACGTTGATTCTGGCCGTGGGTCTAAAGCTCAAAAACACTGAGATAGTAAACAAACGTGTCACATTTGCTTTGCTGGGTGAAACTGAAAGAAAATCCATCATTTCTCGTTCTTCACCGTAACGCTAAATTTTGTCCTAGTAAATCTAAAAGTAAAACTGGGATCGGCCCAGTTTTTTAGCCCTTTTTTTTTGTTCCGATCAGAAACAGTAACTGTATAACTTATAAATATAAGTGTATTAAATCACTCCATATTCTCTGTACTTCAATGTGAGTTGGATATGTCCGGTTTGTCATTAAATACGACTCCTTTAAATTTTACTACGAGAATAACCTGATAAAGACAGATTACTAGTGTTCCCTCTCTGCTATCTATGTTTTCTTAACCTAATATAGAAAGGAGTACATTATACAGCCAAGAATTACTATTGTACGAGAGAGTCGCCACTACAGTACAAGTGAACGATTTCTTCTAAAGATTAGGTCTAATCAGAATTCTTCCTTGCAAAAAAAAACTTTCAGATTTCGTGCAGATTTCGTGAAAACTAGAACTAATATTCCACCTCCACTATCACCATAGGCCAATATATTGAAATTAAATATTTTACTTTTTAGTATAAATCTTATCAAAATTAAAATGTTTAAATAGTGAATATTCAATAATTACTTTGAAATTTATTATTACTACTACACTTACGATATTACTATTAACTACTAGTTAATCTCTAGTTTTTCAATTTTGATGAGAATGTACAACTGATTATTATTATTTTGATTTCAACAGTTTCAAATCTCTTAACTCCGGTAACTGTCAGTGTCACCACGATAGCATAAATATAATGGAATAGGCTTTATAACTATAGTTTACTTTAACACTAATAAAAGTTCAAACGTTCAGTTTTAAAAGTTTATAACATTTTCTGAAAATATTAACTTACCTTCCAATCCAATCGCATTCGTCAGTCGCCCCACAAACACACATAAAAAATACATTCAGAGCAATCACCCTCAGAAAAAGATTCCCGAGTCTGAGACAAGCCATCGGAAACATCACTTGGGTTTAATATAACGCCTGCATCCTGGTGGAGAAGTGTCTCTGATCTGGTATCTATTAGTAGTACCACCGTATACTGTAGATGCAGAAATTTTCTTGACCAAATCAAAGTCCGCTGAGAACCGAGATATCTCACTCTTTAACAGTTTAAGTAATTGCCTTCATTCCCCAGTAACTTGCCAAAGTTCAATACTACCACTACAAAGTGTCGATGACGATTTGTTTTTCCAGATTTTACTTAGTTAATTAAGAAAAAGATTTGTACACACATGGACGTATTGCTTTTCTAAACATTTTGTGTAGCGAGATTATAATCTGGTATGATACGCTATATGAATTTTCTTCACTAACACCAGTTGCTCATACTCATAGTTAAATATCTAAGATACAGTAACAGCTCTACCCTATACTCTCTCTCTCACTGGCTATGAACGTGATCTCTGGCTTTTGCAGCAAGTGCCTGGATGGCCAAGTCCACTGTAAAGCTGAAGGAGGGGGAAGGAACTTCGCTATAGGAGGCGTGGGAAAATCGTGCAGTGTGGGTCTAAGCGACACGTGCCAGAGGGTCCGCCGCGTGCTGATAGCATAAATAACGAAGACATGACCGCGGTAGTTTTTGTGCTAAGAACCTGGTTCAACCCCACCATGAAGACGAGGCCAGTATAGCCTATTTTTCGTTAACGTATTTAAAAAATCCACAGAGACTGATTTCACGAACACAGAACTCTTAAAAAACTTTATAATTCGTTTCTTTGTGATTAAAACTGCACTCTGAAAGCGTCATACTTGCAATTTGCTGATTAATAATTGAAATTTAATTTAGTGATGAAAATTTATGTCAGTATTGTATTAAAAAACTAACTACAATGGTTCTAAAGTCCAAACAGCTGTTGCAAAATATCGAATAATACTTATGAAATGTGTTTCTGGAAAGTACGCGTTATTTTTGCTACATTTGTAGTCTAAAGAAGTTGAAACCTTTTTGATGTAATGAATATAGAGCTTAATTTTAATATCGTGCGTTTTTTTGTGTGGAAACTTTGCAGGGGGTGAATATTTTTGCAAGACACTGTAGATAGATACGGTATAGCATTCTTTCTAGCAAACAAACACTAATAACTTAAAAAGCTTAACATCGAAACATCTGTATGGGATTTGAGTTTCTTCCTTCAAATAGAGAAGGAAAAATTTTGTTTTATATTCTCTGTTTGTTGTTAAGCCTAAAGCTACACAACGGGCTATCTGTGTTTTGTCCTCCACGAGTATCAAAACTCGTTGTTTTTGTTTTTTTGTCTTTCAGTGTAATAAATCTACAGAAGTACCGCTGAGCCACTGAGGAGCAGAGGCAAAAAAAAAAATCTTGTACAAAAAAAGTAACACGATATTTAGTGAGATCATTACAAATATTAAACAATACGGTGGATCATCACGATGAAGTGGTACAGGAGTACAGTTCCTCCTTACAAAAGAACGTGTTTTATAGACTGGTAACAACACGAGATGTTCTCTTTCTGCAAATTATACTCTTCTTATACCCCCCCCCCCCCACCCTCTCCTCACGGGTGGCTCGGCGGTAATTCTGAGAGCTTACGGTGCCAAAATTCGTGTTTCTATACCAGCATACCGTGGTGGACAGAACACAACCAACTGTGTAGCTTTGTGCTAATAAACGTATACCCGCTAATTCTAAGAAATGTGTAAATTCTACCAATTATGAAAACAATGTGTTGATGATATAATAATTGTACATCATATTTCTTCATTTATCACATTAAAACCACAACTGCTTTTTTTCACACACACACACCCTCCGGCTCAGCGCTAAGCCCAAGAGCTTATAACGCTAAATATTGGATTTCAATACTCGCAGTGGCCAAATACAGATGGACCATTCTGCAGCTTTGTGTTTAACAATAACAGACAAACAAACGTATTTTTTTCACATACAGCCAGCTAAGTTCTTTCGTAAATATAGAAAAGCTTATTACTTCTTCAGATAAAGAAGCCCCCCCCCCCCAGTGGCACAGTGGTATGCCTGCGGACATATACTGCTAGAAACCGGGTTTCGATACCCGTGGTGGGCAGAGCACACATAGCCCTTTGTGTAGCTTTGTGCTTAATAACAAACAACAACAGTGAAAGAGCTAGCCATATGATATATTACAACCCTAAAGCTAGTTAAACCAGCTAGGTGACAGGAGAACTTCCGGTCACAAAAATTACAAATTACTTCTTGTACATCGAATTAATCCAGCCAAGCAGGTTGACATCTGGTTACTGAAATCACAAATTACTTGTACATCAAATTAATCCAGCCAAGTAGTTGAACTACTGGTCACAAAAATTACAAATTACTTCTTGTACATCGAATTAATCCAGCCAGGCAGGATGACATCTGGTTACTGAAATCAAAAATTACTTGTACATCGAATTAACCCAGCCAAGTAGTTGAACTACTGGTCACAAAAATCAGAAACAACTTTTTTGTACATCGAAAGTAGCGAGATGAATCAGATGACAGAGATCATGTGGTCACTAAAGTCACAAATTAGTCCTCGAACATGAATGTAAACCAGCCAGATGATTGGAGTCGTGTGGTCATTAAAGCACAAATTACTTCTTGAACATGACATTAAACCAGCCAGATGACAGGGGTTATGTGATCATTGAAGCACAAATTACTTCTTGAACATAAAATTACACCAGCCAGATGACAGGGGTCATGTGATCATTGAAGCCACAAATTACTTCTTGAACATAAAATTACACCAGCCAGATGACAGGAGTCATGTGGTCATGAAAGTCACAAATAACTTCTTGAACATGACATTAAACCAGCCAGATGACAGTGGTTATGTGGTCATTAAAGTCACAAATAACTTCTTGAACATAAAATACACAAGCCAGATGACAGGGGTCATGTGATCATTGAAGCCACAAATAACTTCTTGAACATAAAATTACACCAGCCAGATGACAGGAGTCATGTGGTCATTAAAGTCACAAATTACGTCTTTTAGATCGCAACTAGCGAGACACATCAGATGGCAGCATGTAGTTTAATCACTGACATCACACATTATTCCCATTTCTTTGAAACTAGTACGACCAGCTAGATGACAAAAGGTTTACTGAAGTTTTACTTCTTGTACGCTGAAGCCAGCTGCATTATGGATTATTTAGTCTTTCATTACTTTTTTAACACATCCAACTAGTAAAATTAACTGGATAATGGAAAGTATGATTTTGGCTACTAAAAATCACAATTGCATTTGTCAACTTAATGTACAGTCTCTTGTAGATTATTTTAGGGAAGGTTAAGAACATAGACTTAAAAATGTAAAGTTTTATTCCTTAGAAATTTATTTTTGTACAAAACATAGAGTAGCTACATATTTCGATTTAATTGCTTCCTCCCTTGCTGGTTCTACTAGTTTGAAGTACAAGAGGAATGCCAATACTGAGTTGAATTCATTGATTTTATGAGTCAAACCTCTTTTTAATCTTTAAAAATCTCTTTGCGTATTTCCAGTTTGTCAACTTTTTTAGGTTGTGCTCTGTTCATTCAAGACCTGATCACGTCCTGTTCTCTGGCGCCACTGAAGGGTGTTGACGTTTTAGAATTGATCAGTCATTTACACCAGGTTACAGCCCAGGAAGCTTGCTCAGAAAATTTGGCTTGGTTTCGTCCAAGTTTGGTACGCGAGTGGAATGGATTTCATAGGATCCTGGAATTTTGTTTGTTTGTTTCAGAATTTCTTCGTCATTAGTATCCACTGCCAACTGTTGGGATTTTCTTTTATCTGACCTAATACTAGGATATGACAGTCACTCGTATAGGGCCACCCACAACCCCATAGTGCGTCGCGGATCCCGTTTTTGCACCAACGGGACGCGAACTTGGAACTCTCAGATTTACAGTCCGGGCACCAGCCTGTTTTTAAATACACCATGGAAAATTGCATGATATATACTTAAAACAAAATATCTAAATTAAAAGAGCTCTCTCATCTTTCTTCATACAAGTATTTAATACGTCTGTTTATCAATAAAAGTTCATATTCACTCTGTGTATATACATATATATATATATACCTGCAGTAGTTGTAAAAGCAAACCATCATATATTGCATGTAGTCTTACCACGGACAGAGCGACCTTTACAAAACCTGCGCATAAAAGTTCACTAACCCGAACGAATGACCTGTTAGTGATGCCTTGAACAATGGATATTAAGGATGTTAGAATGACCTGTTAGTGATGTCTTGAACAGTCGTTACTTAGGAGGTTAGAATGACCTGTTAGTGATGTCTTGAACAGTGGATACTTAGGAGGTTAGAGATGAGCGTTTTGGACTTTACTTTTAGTTAAAAAATCACATTGGTCTTGAAAAGGTTAACAATGGGTTCAGAACATATGAAATACAGATTTATATTCAGATATTTATAAAAAAATACCTAACCCCTTAGGATCCAACCATCATACATCATTTGTCACATGCGCTACTTTAAAAACGTTTCATTTTATGTAGGGCCCGGCATGACCAGGTGGTTAAAGCGCTCGACTCGTAATCTGAGGGTTCGCGGGTTCGAATCCTCGTCACACCAAACATGCTCGCCCTTTCAGCCATGGGGGCGTTATAATGAGACGGTCAATCCCACTATTTGTTGGTAAAAGAGCAGCCCAAGAGTTGACGGTGGGTGGTGATGACTAGCTGCCTTCCCTCTAGTCTTACACTGTTAAATTAGGGACGGCTAGCGCAGATAGCCCTCGTGTAGCTTTGCGCGAAATTAAAAAAACAAATATTTTATGTAGTTGTTTTCCATGTTTCTTGAGCAAGATACTTTTTTTTAGTGATTTCAAAAATCAGAACTAGAATAGATAAGATATTAAAACTAAAATGCGCGTGGTGTTAAAGCGTGAGTTATTAATCATATTGCAGACACTTACTTTTTGTTCCTCCTGTCAACTTATTAGTTTTATTGTTGAGTGTATTTACAAGCGCCATCTATTGATTGAATAACACTACGATCATTAAATTTAACCACGCAAACTCCTTGTTACCAAATATTTGTTTGTTTTGTTCGTTTTTGAATTTCGTCATGTATAAGCGAGGTCTACTTTTCTTTTCTCTATGTTCTCACTGAGTGACGAAACTGTGTCTCTGTACTCCACAAATCACAATTGTTTGATTCAATCTGCACTAAATCTGAACACACACGTCTTCTTCTCTTTGTAGGAATTCAAGATTTAATACCCGGCATGTTCGGAAGTTAATAAATTTCCCTTTGTCTCCTCATGATATAGGGATATTGATGATATATATGTATATATATACATATATTTAAGAAATTGCCAACAATATCTGGCCGTACACAAGAGGGAGATTCTTATTGAGGTTCGGCTCAAGCAAGCATCTAATACATTAAACAGTTTTTAGGGCCATCCTCTTGGAGTGTTCTCATACCCCCATGTCATTTTCTAAGGGGGGCACTGTCTACTTGTGTACCCGCCTTTAAATCCAATAGTTTTTCCGATCTCAACCATGATGAAATAAAAGGAAACCAAATGCAACTGCTCAGACTTAGACCAGAAGACCACCTAAAACCGAAACAGTAGGTACAGAACAAGAACTATCTCTCACGTGACGTGGTGACTCATAGT